AATTGTATACTTATACAATAGTAGTGATAGTCATAGTAGTATATTCAAGCACTATTGTCATCCATCCCTACATCTACCTTTTCAAAAAGGAAATCTGCAAGCAATCTGTTGTTCTACATCTGAGTTCTTAAGTACCTGAATAATCATATCCACCACTAGTAGCATTTCCTTCAATTCCTCAATCCCAATGCTTCTTGCACAGTTCTGTGTCATAAGACAAGCTCTCATAAGAATAGATTCTATCCTGAACTCATTTTCATTTGGGAACCCTAAAACTTTGCATTGGTTTCCTCTATTGTTCTATTCATGAACTAGGATTCTATTTCATCCTGGATGGCCCTCCTCTGAAACCTAGACATTGCTACCTCTCTGACCATTGCCAGGAGTGGCTTATCACATTTTGTAACCCACATGAGAAATTTATATTTTCCACCTTTACAATTCTAATACCTGTGGCCTGGAAATCTAGATTCAGAGAGAGAGAGAACAATTTCATCATGAGATGTTGGAAGAGTCCCATTTAAGCTCTAGACACTGCCCAATCACTTCAGACCCTTCATGCTAAGAGACCAGTTAGGATGTAAAGGACTCATCTTTACTACAGGGGATAATTGATCATGTTTATCAGGAGAAGATGGGACCTCTGAATCTAAGAAAAGGAAAAAAGCATTTGATATTCAGATGATCCATTGGAATATCTCTTGATATTTATCTGCCCAGTTGTGACAGTAAATATACAAATATACAAACCATGCTCTGAAAAGAGCATGCAGACTAGTCACAGCTCTCAGGAATGGGGAGTCTACCTGACTTGCTAAGTTAGACACCTAGATCACCAGATGTGCTAAGAGGGAGGGAATCTAGAATGGATACTTGAAGAGGGAGACAAGGATTATTAGTAGTGGCTGGGCAAACAGCTGCAGCAAGAAGGGCTGGATTTCGTCCCCCTAACTTCACAAGTATTCTAACTTGCTGTAGGGGTTAACAAGACTTCAAACAAGAGACTATACCAAAGGAGAAATTGTAGAGCTGACAAAGATGAGACTGCTGTTACAATAAAAGTGGGAATACATTTTTACATTTATTAAAACAATTTATTCAAGCTAAAAAAAAAAGTTCACCCATTTTTCACACAGCCTGCACTCCCTGTCTCTTGCAACCAACAATCTGTTTTCTGTATTAATGAGTTTACTTTTGTTTTTTGAGGGAGGGATTTTGTTTCATTTTAGACTCTACCTATAAAAGAGATCATACAGTATTTGTCTTTGTCTGACTTATTTCACTTATCATAATGCCCTCAAGTTGCATTTATATTATCACAAATGGCAAGATTTAAATCTCCTTGTAGCTAAAATATATATTCGACAAGTTGCTTATCCATATATCCATCAGTGGACACACAGGTTGTTTCCATATCTTGGCTGTTGTAAATAATTCTGCAGTGAACATGGGGATTTATGTATCTTTTTGAGTTAGTAGTTTCATTTTCTTCAGATAAATATACAGAAGTAGAATTTCTGGATCATATGGTGGTTCTATTTTCACTTTTTTGAGGAAGCTCCATACTGTTTTTCACAGTGGCTGCATCAATTTATATCCCATGAACTGTGTACTGGGGTTGCCTTTTCTCCACATCCTTGCCAACACTTGTTATTTCTTGTCTTTCTGATAATAGTGATTTTAACAAGTTTGAGATGATATCTCACTATGGTTTTGATTTGCATTTTCCTGGTGATCAGTGATGTTATACATCATTTCATGTACCTGTTGGCCATCTGTATATCTTCTTTGGGAAAATGTCTATTCAGACTTTCTGCCCATTTTCTAATTGGATTGCTTGGGGTTTTGCTATTGAGTTGTATGAGATCTTTATATATTTTGGATGTTAGTCCCTTATCAGATATATAGTTTAGAAATATTGTCTCCCAATCATAGGGTGCCTTTCATTTTGTTGATGATTTACTTTTCTGTGAAGAAGTTTTTTAGTATGATGTAGTCCCACTTAGTTATCTTTGCTTTTGTTGTCAGAGTCAAAAAATCATTGCCAAGTCCTATGTCGAGGAGTTTACTACCTCTGAGTTTTACCACTTCTTACCACTTCTAGGAGTTTTATGGTTTAAGGTCTTACATTCAAGTCTTTAATTATCTTGAGTCAATTTTGGGGTATGGTGTAAGATAGCTGTCAAGGTTCATTATTATGCATGTGGCTTTCCAGTTTTCTGCACAGCATTTTTTGAAGAAACTTTCCTTTCCACATTGTATAGTCTTGGCTCCCTTGTCATAAATTAATTGACCAGATAACTATGGATTTATTTCTAGGCTTCCAATTCTATCTCATTGATCTTTATTTCCTTATTTATGCCAATGCCATTCTGTTTTAATAACTGTAGCTTTGTAATATAGTTTGAAATCAGGAAAGTGTGATACCTCTTGCTTTGCTGTTCTTTCTCAAGATGGCTTTGGCTATTTGGAATTTTTGTGGTTCCATATAAATTTTAGTATTATTTGTTCTATTTCTTTGAAAAATGCCATTGGGATTTTGATAGGGATTTCATTGATTCTCAAACTCTCTATTTGTTGGTTTAAAATCTAGGCCAAAAAAAAAAAAAATCTAGGACCAATATCTTGTTCAACTGTGAAATGTAGTATAACATATGCTGGACTAAGTATTCTTGAACTAAATTTAATTGCTGAATTCATTAGAGGGAAGATCCAAGGATTTTCCCTCTAATGCCTTGTTGCATCTGGCTGTGCACTAAGTTTCAGTGTAATCAGGCTGCTCTGATGAAGATATTTTTGTCTGAGCCCATTTGCCACCATATCTGCCAATATCAGTCTAGTGATTCAGCTCCTCAGGGTAACTTGGATAGACCCAATGCCATTCATTTCAAAGTCTCTAGCTTCCTACTGTTCAACTTTTCTCTTCCTTCTCCCATTCAACCAGCACACCTGTAATCTCAAATACACTATGCATGAGAACTGGCCTCTAAGACAAAAACAGTTATTCATGATTTTCATCCAGCAGCAGACTTCTGTTCTTCTGGCCAGACTAGGAATAGAATCATCACCAACAAATAAAAGGACAAGGTGTTTTGGGTTTTTTTTCCGTAGATAAGAGTAGAGGTTCAAATAAGAGTGAAAGAGGAATTAAACTATGAAAACTAAGAAATGAAGGTGTGGTGAGAGAGAAAAAAAATGTTATTGATGTTGCCCCCTTCCCTTCCCCATCCAGGTGAATTTCAACCCTGTTGAGACTCAGTCAGCAAATCTATAGCCCTAACCACCACACTTCCAGGCCTCCCCACCCTGTCCATAAAGAGCTCTTCTTTATTCTACAGTGGATTGGAACCAAGAGAGTCCAAAATAAGATACACTATAGAGGAAACATGTGAAGTTTCTTACTTCAATTGTCCTCCCTTTGTGTTTCTCAGCACTATAAACCAAAAAGGATGTTCAAGATAAGAACTGTAAATGTTAGGGGCATTATAATGAAGCTCCTCACCAAAGTTTTCTGTGAGGAAATACAAATACATAACTTGTGGTTCTCTTATTTCAATAGCGCATCAGCTGTAGTTTTTTTAACCTTTAAAGCAATGCATCTGTTAATACAAACTCACGAAGATTAGGAAGAAAAGCAAAGCGCTTGGTCTTTAAATCTTCAGAAGTGGGTTTAATGACAGGTTCAGCCTGTTTAATGACAGGCCCCAGCGCCACACCCCTGTTTTATTATGTTTCATTATTACTGCATAATTTCCTTTACTACCCATGATAAATGGAAATCAAATACTTGCTGAGGTGGGTTTAAATAGGTAAGAGTGCAAACAAAAATAGTTCAAATATCATGAAACTGAGATCTCAAGTTCTTAAAATGTGTATTAATATTTTTTTAAGTGTCCGATGTACCAAGCTCTACAACTCTCAAACTAGGTGTGTGTGTTGGGGGGGCGAGGGGGGGGGGTAACTGGCTAAGTTTTTTGTTTGTTTTTGTGGGTTGTTTTTACTTTGTAGTATTGCATCCATAATTTAAAGATGAAAAGAATAAAAAACACATTCAAAATACGACTCGCGGGATTTTTCAGTCAGACCCATTTTTGGCTGAGTCAAATAGACACCCCTTTCCCAACTGCTAAATTTGATGGAAGATGTGAAGCAAGTGAAATTCAAGTACAGCCTGGGGATGAATGTAACCTGCCGGAGAGGGGCAGAACTGTCCCTTTAAGACATCTTGAGACCAAGTTATTTCAAATGCCCGGCCTTTTGATTACACAGGGAGCGACTAACATCTCCAAGTGAGAGCGGCTGGGCCGGGACTGAAGAACTAGAAATCCTCTGCTCCGCCTGCTGGAAGGAGGAGATCAGGAGCTGAGTACACTGCTTCAGTTGCTCCAAAAAACTTAACCTAGAATTGCGGGATACCCCACAGGCATCAGCACAGCGGGCTCCGCTCGGCGTTGTCCGGCGCATGCGGCCGGGCACCATCTGGCCTGCTCTCCCCCGCCCCTACCCTCTTAGGCTGAAACGTCAGCCGCGGGCCTGGCCTCCGCGCCGACACGGTGGGACGTGCCCGGACCCGCAGCGGGCGGAGCCTAAGGAGGTGGGAGAGCGCCTCCCGACAGCCCAGCTGGGAACGGGTTCAGTCCCGGCCGGCTCTCCGCTCCGCCGGAGGGAAGCTCCGCGGTGCGGACTCTGTGACGCGCCCGCACAGTGCAACCAGAGCGGGTTCGCGCAAGGTTGCTGCTGCGCGAGGCGCATTTTCCTGGGAACCATCCGGGGAAATCCCGGCTTTAACTACGGGCCGTTCGGCCATTGTACCGACCCCTCTAGCCGCAGAAGGACGGCAAAGGGGGGCTGAAGCTGAGCTGAGCTCTTCCCGAGTGGGGAGAGCCCTCCAGGGCGAGGTGGGAAGGGAGGGTAGGGTGTTGCGAAGTTCACGGCCAGCGGTGGATTATCCGGGACAGTTTGCGCCTGGGGGCTGCGAAGTCAGCGAAGAGGACAAGGGCATGCTCAGTGGTGGTGGCGGTGATGCGGACCTGGCCAACGCCGCGGCGCGGGGCCAAGTGGAGGCCGTGCGGCAGCTCCTCGAAGCCGGTGTGGATCCCAACAGACTCAACCGCTTCGGGAGACGCCCGATCCAGGTAGCTGGGGGCCCCGGGCCTCGCCGGCAGGGGGCGCACGAACACGGGGCCGCCGCCTCCGTGGACGCGGCTGGAACTGAGATCTCCACGAACAGACCTGTGTCTCTTTGCTGGAGTATGGAGCTCAGGTGTAAAGCAGGTTTTCACTCATCAGAAATTCTAAAGAAAGGGACTGGAAACCCCGCTACTTCAGTTTGCTTTTCTTTTTAATGGGGGGTGGGGGTGGGGGTGGGGGAAGGCCAGTATTCCCTGTCCCATCTCATAAAAGATGCAAGAGATAGGTTCAACTGGGCAGGAAAGGGAAGGAGAGGCTATTGGAGAACTGCAAGAAGGAGAGGCTATTTGGGGAGAACTGCTTTGTCTCATCTGTTTGTCTTTCAACAAATAGCGATCAGTTTTCAACGATAGAGATAATTAGATTACAAGTTACGCAATTTGGATTGGATTTAAGGAATTCTACATCACAGCACATAAAAATCATCCTGAATTTTTAAGCTGCGATATGAAATGTTATATTCTTTCCTCATTGAATTGAATAAATACAAAGGTTAATTGAATACAAAGTAATAAGTCAGGATTCCTCAACCACAGTACTTAATTCCTTTTATTTTACGTTAGCAGTGTTTCTTGAGTGTTACATAAGAGAAAATATGTTTCTATAGATTTTTATCATACTGAATGCTTGGATTACATAAACATCCCTGCAGCTTTGTTAAATGGCAAAGGGTCTTTATGAATAATTAGCCTCTTCATTGTTAAAATTCATTTATTCGATATGTTTAACTATTAATCCCACTTTAATTAGTGCTGATATTTTTTTTAAATTTCTTTAAAATCTAAGGTAGTACTTTGTGTTTTACTGTTGATCATGTAGTCAGCAGTATTAAGTACTAAAAATTAGTATTCACCTCACAATCATCTTCCAGAACCAAGTCATTAGTAAGAAATCTTGTTAATCATGCAGTTTTTAAATATGTATTCATTCATTTTGAATTTATAGAAAATGTTGGAAGAAGTGAGGGATTATTTAAAGCAGCAAAAATATTTTAAAGTAGTCCTTAAAGACTTCAACTTATATTAGTAACTGTACAAGGGGGCTTTTGTCATTTTAATTCACCATATTCTGAGATATTAAGAGCCACTTTTTCTCCTCTATATATGAGATGCACTTTACATCACTAATAGAAAATATATCATGGTTTTTAAGGGAGGAGATGGATGTTTTCAATAACCATGGAACAACGAAAAAAATTAGCATACTATATTTTGATTCCATGGTAAATATTAAAGCATAAACTCACAAGAACATATAATTTCATTTTGAATATTTAATTATCAAAAATTGTTAAAATAAGAAAGTAAATGCTGGCATAATGTACATGTACACAAAGGGATACTGTAGGATTACTGCTTCAAAACATAGTTTTTCTAAGTTATGCATTGCTCTGATTTGACTGCTAAAATCCAAGCTCCTTTTTAGATAGCAAAATGTTTACTGTTTAACAATATAAAATCCTAGCACATTATAAAATCCTGTACAATGCAAATATAGTGTCTATTTTATGTTACATCAAATATATTATCCTCTAAACTTTAGCCCTTATCTATAATGTTAAATATTAAAAGTGGTGAATCATTGATTGAAAACAAATAGTTTGTTTTCATCGTCTTATAAAACTATGCACGACTTTACTTTCCCCCCCTCTATCTCCCACTGTGGCTCAAATTATGGGACTATATATACGCCCTTTATGAGCAGAGACATATAACAGTGAAAAGTAAAAGCCTTCCCACAGGGGATTTACTACAAGAAATAAACAAAGTAAACCTTGTTTTAAACGTAGTTTCTTATTTTCTCTCCTAAAGCATTACTCTAATGTCTAAAATAAATATATCAGCTGACTGCCTAGTAAATTTTTTAGATAGGGATTATGGCTGGGGGGGGGAGGGGAGAGCAAGGGAAATAAATTTAAGATTGTAAAAGTCCTTAAACTTAACTCTGCCTTAAACTTAAGTCCTTTAAGTCCTTAAACTTAACATCATTTAACAACATAGATTCCCGTTTCAATGGAAATTTTTAAAAAATTTTCCCACAACGGCGATAAGCACTTTGTTATCAGCTCTTTCCTTGTCTTCCCACGTTTGGAGAATAAAACTGAACTAATTAATTAGGTCTGAGTAGAGTATAAACTGGGGCTGCTAGATGTCGGGGGGCGGTGGGGGGGGGGGGGGCGGGAGGGGGGATTTGCCTCAGTAAATTAAGCTTAACTAGACTTCCGAGGCTTGTAAGGGCCTGGGGATCATGAATAGGTCTTTTTTTGAAAAGACTCTACTTGCCCCCATCTGTCCTGACCACTCTGCTGTCTCCGGCAGGTTATGATGATGGGCAGCGCCCGCGTGGCCGAGCTGCTGCTGCTCCACGGCGCGGACCCCAACTGCGCGGACCCCGCCACGCTCACCCGACCGGTGCACGACGCCGCCCGGGAGGGCTTCCTGGACACGCTGGTGGCCCTGCACCGAGCCGGGGGGCGGCTGGATGTGCGCGATGCCTGGGGCCGCCTGCCCGTGGACCTGGCCGAGGAGCGGGGCCACCGCGACGTCGCCGGGTACCTGCGTGCGGCCGCGGGAGACTGAGGGCACGCGTACATAGCCGCCCACGACGACTTTTTTTCTCTCCAGTTCGCCACCCCAACTTAGTTCAAAGAGGGCTGCAAACCTGGAATAGCGGAAGTCTTCCTGGGCGACTGGATTCCCGGCAGCGAAGGAGGAGCTGACTGGAAATAATTTTTTCTCCGCCCCCCCCCCCACCCCCTCGGATACCGCCCTCGGCACTCACCGTGAAGCAAAATGAAGAGAGGTGGGGCACATGGATTTCCAGTAGGAGCCGAATGTGGAACTCACACGTTTGTTTTTCAGGGTTTTCTGGTGAAAAGCGGCACGTGAGCAAGTCCATGAACAAACCCAAGTGCTGTGAATCTTCACACAGAAGGTGCTGGGGCGGAGTGGGAGGCGGCGGCAGCTAGCCTTCAGGTGGGAGGCAGGTGATAACGATCGCCCCACTGACCTTGAAGGACCACCCTGTAAGTCCCCACTTCAGGCGTCGGGCCCTGAGGGAAAATCTGGAGCTGGAGGACCAGACAATGACGAGGACGAAGATCGACACGGGCTCAGTAGGCGACCAACGCCTCCTTTACAGGCTTGCGGAGCGGGACAGGTCGCGAGCAAAAACCTACCGACTGGAAGCCTTGGGGCCTCTTGTCCAGTCCCATCAGATAGCGATGGGGAAGAGAGGACCCGGAAGTCACCTCGATTTGCCCGCTAATTCTAAAGTCCCCAGGTCTAGGTGATGCTGAACGGCTCTCTGAACGGGGCGCTCATTTGCTGTTGCTACGGCGAGATTCCTGCGGTGTTCCGTCCTCGGACAGACAGGTCCGGGTTGTAGCAAGAGCGATGTAGGTAGGCCATTAACTGTTAACGATTTGTTTGATCTCTATACGATAGGATTCAGAAAGCCCCCTGTAAATTGCCACTTGAAAAGATTTCGTGATATTTTGTACTCTGGGTTGTTCTTCAGTAGCAGTCTTAATTCGGAGACTTTAAATTACAAAGTAACTCGCGGCCCTTGGGAAGGAAGTGAGGAAGAACGACAGCTTTTATGCGAAGCTATGGCACCGTGCCACCTCCCAGATTACTTCAGTCCTTAACCTATTTATTTCTTTGTTAAAGTTTGTTTCCTTTACTGGAGTGTCTCCAGGGTCAAACTATGAAATATTACAAACGTTTTTTAGAAGATCCATGCACTTACCCAGTAAATGATCTCAGGATATCTCCCAAAGGGTTGCTGAAAGAGTAGACAGTGTGAAACTGTTGAAACTACGTAATGATGGCTCGTGAAATGTCTTACTATCTGCTGAACAAACTAAAGGTGTACTGTTTGGGGATTTAATTTCCAGTGTTGCTTGATTCATTACAGCATTGGAATAACTGATATTTCACTGTTTTAATGTTAAAAAGAAAAGTTGAGATTGGACACCAAGGTTTTGGCTTAAAACATGTGAATTCCACTCCTAATTTAAGGGAGTTGTGGAATCTGGTGACAACCTTATATTAATGGAAAGTAAATCAAGAAAATATGGTTGGGTACTACAGGGTACTGTGAGATTCATATATATATACATATATATATATATGCCAAAACATCATACATTATTGGGAAATCAAGTACCACCTGGTTGCACTGAAATATTTATGATGCATTTAAAAGTAAATTCAGATTTCAAATCCACCTGGTAGGCAGGTATGGCCAATGTGTTTTGTCAGCCACACAAGAAATACATATGTTAAATGTTTAAGATTTTACTTTGAAGGATACATGCAAATAAACATAGCTCTATATACATGAGCCCTGCTTCTGGCTCCATTTTACAATTACAGAAAAATATACATGTTAATTTCTGTATCTAAATCTAAAAATATTACCCAGGTTTGTAAAAATCTTATCACCTGACCTTCACTGCAAGATCTGGAAGTAAAATAAATTTATAATTCAATAATGTATTCATTTGGCCTCATTTTTATATTTCTTTTTTCAGCTGAGGGAATGGATGAGAATGAGGATGATTTACTATGAAAGCAAAATCTATTTAAAATTTCCTATGTTCTAATGGCTAAAATTAGTAATTTCAAATATATGGTATGAAATAAATTCTGAGAGCTCAAGATTCATACAGCTCCTAACGGCTTTGGGAAAGTGTGTTCATAGGAATGCCTTAAAATTTTATTTCTGTGTTATGAGAAAAACAATATGAATATGGTGTCCAGGACCAAATAAGTTCATTTTATAAAGCTAGGTAACTGACCTTCAGCAAATAAATAAAACTAATTTAACTTACACCAATCACATTGAGATTCTATATTGCCCTTCCTTTATGGGAAATGTTAAAAAACAAATTATTTGTGTGCTAATATGTAATAGTCAATAGGGATTTTTTTTAACTACC